TGATCCAAAGTATTTTGTTTTTTGGTCATCTTGTGGTCAGACACAAAATTTTTATTGCCGTGCAAACTCTCGTGTCTATTCTTTAGCTGTTGAGTGTATGTCAGTAGTACACTCATTATGGATTGATTAAGTGCACTTCAGAACGTTCATATGGTTTCAGACACCACTAAAAATAGCTTCTCCCTTAGACAATGCACTACTTAAAGGCATAGGAAGCAATTTTGGGTACAGCCCTTTTATTCATAATTCATTAAATAAATTGTTGATTCTGATGATTCGCTCAAAACAGCAAATTCATTTAGCCTTGAAACAAATAACGATCTTTATGAATTAATCAATGAATGATTACCTCCAATGATTCATTCTAAAGCAGATTTATTCGAAAACGAACCACAGAGAAGCACAAATGTTCGGCTTTGTTTAGAACTCTTTTTTGTTGGCAGAAAAAAAACATCGGTCAAAATTGTGTTTAAAGTGTAATTCACTGACTCTTGAGTATCTTCACAGACACAGACATAAACCACGACGAATGAAGTTCTGCACTAGACTTTTGGCCAGCGGAGAAATTAAAATGGTCGTGCCCAACTGAGTCTGGTTCTCTCAAGGTTTTTTTTCTTCACTCCCATCAGGTGAAGTTTTTTTTCCCTCTCCGCTGTCGCCACTACCTCGCATGGTTCAGGATTGGTAGAGCTACGCATCGATGAATTGGCTCTTCAGTGTTTGAACTCTCAGTAATGATTAAATCACACTGAACTGAGCTAAACTGAACTGAACTTAAACACTAAAAACTGAACCACACTGTTCCAGTTACTGAACTACACTGTTCCAGTTACTATGACCATTTATGTGAAGCTGCTTTGACACAATCTACATTGTAAAAGCGCTATACAAATAAAGCTGAATTGAATTGAACATTGGTTCGCTGAATGTGTGAACAGCTCTATGATTCCCCATTAAGATTATATCTGTGTGTTTGTTTATGGGATTCTCCAGAGCAGGCTATGGCGACATTCAAACACAAAAAACAATAACCTCTTTGTGAAGGTCAAAGGGTGTTGGGTAGAAATGCAGGACATATCGGAATGGAAAGATTTGTAGAGGCTGTATCAAACACAGAAATAACCAGATGTAACCAAATGGTGCAAAGATTGTATTTTAATAATCAACCTCTATTCTGAATATTTAAATTGTTGAAAATCTTTAATAATAGAGATTTAATACATTTTAATTGAATGATTTTTTGTATAACTCTGACTGTTCACATAATCAATTAATCAAATTTTATTATATATTATAATCAAATTATATTATGAATATTCAATACATGTTTAATAAAATTCTGACTTTGATTACATGTTTTATAACAACTTAAATACATTTCTGAATATTTTTAAGTATAATCAATGACTAATATTAATCACAATATTGATACTATAATCACTGTTCAATAATATATATAGATAAGGAGATTATTGTGTATATCACATAATCAGACTTGTCCGTTTATAATGAATATTATCTAGAAATACTTAATTCTTACATTTATGTTACTACTATTTATTATTATCAATATTCAAAATGTAAAATAATTCAATAGATATTAATATAATATTGTTTCATTTAAAATATAGATATGATCAATAATACTGTTTCATATAAAACATTTTCATATTATTATTCATTCATTTATTCATTCATTTTCTTGTCGGCTTAGTCCCTTTATTAATCTGGGGTCGCCACAGCGGAACAGAGGGAGAACATGCAAACTCCACACAGAAATGCCAACTGAGTCGAGTCTCGACCCAGCGACCTTGCTGTGTGGCGACAGCACTACCTACTGCTGCAATCAGTGACCAATATTCAGTGTACATACTCGATATTTATTTGTCTGGTCTTTTGTAGAATATATTATTCATTCATATTCAATATCATGAATGTAATGCAATATTCAGAATATTATCAATTATAATCATTGACTCATTCAGAATATTCAGCGTATGTACACTCACCGGCCACTTTATTAGGTACTCCTACCCAACTGCTTGTTAACGCAAATTTTAATCAGCCAATCACAATGCAGCAACTTAATGCATTTAGGCATGTAGACATGGTCAAGGAGTTGATGCCAGTGGTCAGAGGAGAATGGCCAGACTGGTTCGAGCTGATAGAAAGGCAACAGTAACTCAAATAACCCCTTGTTACAACTGAGGTATGCAAAAGAGCATCTCTGAACGCACAACACGTCCAACTTTGAGGCTGATGGGCTACAGCAGTACACTTCACACCGGCTCACCAAAATTGGATAATAGAAAATTGGAAAAACGTTGGCTGGTTTGATGAGTCTTGATTTCTACTGCAACATTCAGATGGTAGAGTCTGAGAATTTGGTGCCAACAACATGAAAACATGAATCCATCCTGCCTTGTATCAACGGTTCAGGCTGGTGGTGCCCAACTGAGCCTGGTTTCTCTCAAGGTTTTTGTTCTTCACTTTTGCCAATGGGTTAAGTTTTTTTTCCCTCTCGGCTGTCGCCGCTAGCTTGCTTAGTACGGGATCGGTAGAGCTACGCATCCATGGATTTGCTCTTCAGTGTTTAGGCCCTTGTTAGTGATTATTAAACCACACCGAACTGAGCTGAACTGAACCTAAACACTAAATACTGAACTACACTGTTCCAATTTACTATGATCTTTTATGTGAAGCTGCTTTGACACAATCTACACTGTAAAAGCGCTATACGAATAAAGGTAAATTGAATTGAATTGATTTGGTGGTGTAATGGTGTGGGGGATATTTTCTTGGCACACTTTGGGCCCATTAGTACCAATTGCTGACCAATTGCTGACCAATTAGTACCAATTGCTGACCATGTCCATCCCTTTATGACCACAGTGTACCCATGGCTACTTTCAGCAGGATAACGCACCATATCATAAAGCGTGAATCATCTCAGACTAGTTTCTTGATCATGACAATGAGTTCACTGTACTCAAATGACCTCCACAGTCACCAGAACTCAATCCAATAGAGCACCTTTGGGACGTGGTGGAACGGAAGATTGGCATCTTGGATGTGCAGCCGACAAATCTGTAGCAACTGCGTGATGCTATCATATCAATATGGTCCAAAATCTCTGAGTAATATTTCCAGTACCTTGATGAATCTATGCCATGATGGATTAAGGCAGCTCTGATGGCAAAAGGGGGTCCAATGGGCTACTGCAGTAGTAAGGTGTACCTAATAAAGTGGCCGGTGAGTGTATATTCAGTAATCATGTCAAAAAGTATTAATGTTTTAAATTATAATCTGGTCATTAAGTAGTATATTCATACCATCAATGTGAAATATTATTCACAAAATCTGCATTAATAATTAAGGTACAAGAATATTCAGCTGAATCCATGCAAACTATTTGACGTCATAATCAGTGCCTAATATATTTAGTGGAGCATAAATATTCATCATTTTCTAATTACAATCAATATCTATTAATATTCAAATTGCAATCAGTATGTGGGACGCTAAAGTATTTAATACATATGTAAAATATGTTCAAAGTAAGCATTTAAGGATGACGCTAAAACTAAGCATCGTGATACCAAAAATAAACCAGTAGCTGACTCAAGAACTGTGTATCTATCTGTGCATTTTTGCGCAGTCATTTATCACCAGCCCCATTAGATATCTATGAGTATTTCATGCTCAGAAAGCTTCTGCTGGGTTTGAATGGGCTATTTATAGCAAGCCAATGACGTACTTTATCAAACGTAACCCCTTCCCGCAGATCTCGCCCAGAATCCAAGTATCGCGATATCACGCAGCTCGTACGCTACACTGGGCTGTTTGAATGTATATGAAGCTGTAGACAGACAGACAGGTGTGTCGCGGCATATGGCGATGCAGCTGCCGACATCTTGAGAGAGAGAGAGAGAGAGGAAAAAGGTAACCGCGTAGCATGAAACATGCATGCAGTCAAAACCAGTCATGTTCAGTTATTTCCGAGATCAATGAGCTCCGTGTTCTGGCGACATGGATGCTGGATGCTCGCTCAGATTACAAACTCATGATGAGCGATGATGTCCGATGAGCACACGTCGATGATAACAATAACTGATCCAAAACAGAAAAGGGACAATGTCAAAATTATGACCAAAACACGGGGATTAAAGGAGCTCGTGTCCCATCAGACTGTGAAGAACGGAGAGTGCAGCATATTTCAAGAAAGAAAACTGCCTGCTTATTCACTGTTAATGAATGCATGAAAATATGTTGAGTGTTTATTGGTCATGATGAAGAACAGTTGTCATATTTTTCCTTAGGTTTCTGTTATGGCTATTATGTTAATATTGGTAGGCTAAATATTTATCATGAAATACAATTTGACATAATAAATTATACATTGTAAAATTGTATACGTTATAACATTGCATTTGCATATTTTATTATAAATATTGATGCAACTTCTATAGTAACAATCACATGTTATTAGTAGGATGTATGTGTGCGTAATAAAATACAAATACTTATATTCAATACATTTGAAATATTACATATTTTTATTATTATTATTTGTTTTATTGTTATTATTACTATTCTGTAGACACAATAAGCACAACCTGATATCATAATGCCACAGCAGTTTTGGAAAAGCTCATCATTTACAGACTTTAATGAAACCAGTCTGAAAGTTTGCCCATCGAAATGCACGAAACATTCAGATCTGGAACAGTGTGAAGCTGTGAAGTTCCCTGTACTAATAATAACACCCCAGGCTGTAATAATGAAGCGTGCTGAATATCCCTGCGCTTCTCATCCAGCATAAACAGTGCAGGTTACTTCTGTCAGGTCTGCTATACACGAACACCGGACCAGGAATTAGTTTCCTTTTGTCCTTCGCCCTCTTATTTCCATTCGCTCGCGCGCTAAACCCACACGCACACAGAATAACACACAGTTGGTGGAGAAATGAAGGTGCAGAAAGAGAAAGACGTGTACTCAACTATTTACACAGGTGCTGGAGACACAGGTCCAGGCATTCCCCCTCCACCTCGTCCTCCGAGATGAGGTCCGACAAGGGGCGAGTAGGCAGAGGTACGTCCTCCTGGATAGGTGGCCTCATCTCCCGTAAGAAGAGCTCCAGGAACCTCTTGAAGGTTTTCTCCTCGTTGGCAGAGCCGGCCATCGCTTCTCATTCCTGGAGAGACCGGAGACAGACAGCTGGAGCCGGGCAAGAAGTCTACACTACTTTGAATCAGAGGCTCAGAGCGACTCTCTGGTCGCGCGGGTTGGGGAGGGCGCGCGCCCGCGAACGGTGAGGGATTCGCGCAACAGACAGGCGTGACGTCACAGAGGGGAGGGGTGTGAGCGAAAGGAGGGGGGCGAATTAACCTTTTCATTAACCCATATTTGCCTCGAAAATTTACTTCTGAATGTAAAGGGTCTGAAGTTTATACGTCTTATTTATATGGGGAAAAGTCTACAGATTTTAATACATCCTTCTTATCTATTCTCTCACTCTCATTCATTATGCATATATGTATGTATTCCTTTTAAAAATCTTTATCTAAGACTTCAATCTATAATTTAAATGTATAATTTAATCCTTTCTAAATTTGCCTCAACCTTATCTGACTCCCTCTCTCAATATATATATATATAATTATTATTATTATTAATATTATTTTAGATGTTTGTTCTATTGCTTTCAATACTTTATATGTTCTCATTTGAATGTTGCAGAATGAATAAATGTAATGGTCATATTAGCCATTAGTGTCATAATGTACACACTTATAATATTTTGTAGTTATAATATTCTCAATCTGTGTTCAGGGTCAGATTTAAGAAATAAGAAGGATAAGCGCCTGCTTAGGGCCCCAGGAAATCTGAGGGCGCCCAAATAAATACCTAAAAGTATAAACTATACCTGTAAATTATACATAGCATCATTTTCTATCATGTTTTGTATGATGAGTGTCTAAAAAAATAAAAGTTTAATGTTTATTACATCTGTGCAAATGTATCCCCCACCCTCAGTCATGGAGAAGTCCAGCACCCAAATTAGGTAAATAATAGGGATTTTTTTTTTTTTTGTGAATTTTGTGTTGTGAATTCATTTTAAGAAAACAAATCATTTAAAAAGTTTTGCAAGATGCTCTACATGTTGTTGTTTTTATTATTATTTTGCATTAAGACAAAATGTTGAAAAGGAGTGATTGAGTGAAAAAAACAACTGAAAAATAAATCAATTAAAGTACAAAAGGTGCATTTTATAACTTTTGGGCCTCATGGCTGGAAATGCTAGGGTCCCCAAAACACTAAATCCACCCCTGTCTGTTATTCACGTTGCTCTACTTTATGTAACAAATTTAGAGATTGAATGGATTTAAAATAGATCAAATGTAGTCATAGCATATTATTCATGGACTGACCCTAATGCAGCTCGTTTAGCTACCAGGGATGGGCAGTAGTTTTGATACATGTATTTCAAACACGTATTTTAAATACAAAATAGTATTTAGTCAGCTGTATTTGATAGGGTTTATGAAAAGAAGAATTGAAAAAATCCGAGGAGTAATACTAGTAGTTTTGGATGGATTGCTGATGCCAAATGTTTGTCATTAAAACAAACCAAAAAATAATCCCTACAATGGCGATTCCTACTTCATTGGCTGTTTCAAAAGCCAGTAGTTGATCAGTAGGTCCACTGTATAGTTAATGAGAAGGAACAATGTAAGCCTTTACATATATATATATATATATATATATATATATATATATATATATATATGAAAAATTCTTATCAAACATTTTTATTTAACTCTTTATTTAACACACTTTTAAAATATTAGGAGGTTGAATAATCATTGTACAGAGATGATGGCAATTTTACTGGCCACATTCAATATCAAACATTGTTTACTTTACTAGTTGGGAAGGGATTGTTTGAATATGTCTAATTGATGGAAGATCTGCAAAAAAAGTCATGCTCCTTTGCAAAAGTATTTTGTAGTATTTTATTTTGATACACCTTGTGCCTGCTGTATTTTGTAGTTTATTTTGCTACACCTAAAATTAATGTATTTAGTATTTTATTTTAAAATACATTTCATTTTGCCCTATCCCGATAACTACCAAGTATGTCAACCTAATTAAAATATTGTGTAATGTATGTTGATATTATAACCTAAAAAAAAACTTAATTAAAACTTTAATAATGTAGATAATAGCTATTTTATCATTAAAATTGACGTTTTCTCATTCAGTAATATCGTATATTAATAATACACAACATTCTTTTTATTTCATCTTTAAAGAGCACCTATTTTACCCCTTTTTCAAGATTTAAAATAAGTCTTTTGTGTCCTCAGAATGTGTCATTAAAGTTTCAGCTCAAAACACCCATCAGAGTAATTATTAAATCATTTAGAACATTAGAATTTTCTGTTCTGAACACCATGTCGCTGGTTTTGCTGCCTGTGTCTTTTATGCTGGTTCTCCCCGCCAACAGTTCCCACATGCCTGTCAGAGTGTGCCTCAATCTCCGGCTGCCTGTGTCAGAAAAACAGCACAGTGACAGACATGAAGGAAGCAGATCTCACATAACATTGTGAGAAATACTGCAGTAAAAACTTTACAACTGATTATCTGATGTAATTGTTGTGGAGTTAATTCAAGCCTTTCTGCAATGATGAGTCACACACAATGTCGTTACAAAGTTTACACAAAGTGTGCGCGTTTAACTTTGCACTGTATTTGCAAGGCAAATGCACTAGGATACACATCAATATCCACTGCAGCATGGATATCTGTTATGTTAATGCACAAAATAAATCTGATTTAACCTCCACAAACCGGGATTAAAGCATCTTCTTTATTAATTGTGCTGATGCAGCTGTGGTGATAAAGGCGGTAAAATCGCTGTATTTCATTACAAGCGTGCACTGTTTCAAAAACATTTTAACTGGTAAAACTCATTCTTGATCTCATTTGATGATCACAGAGAGCTCAACAGATCTTTTAACCCCAGTTGTTTTGCACACGTCCTGTCTTGTTGAAATTATACATGTTACTACAGAGAAATGTTAATATGTGGCTGTCAATCAATTCGGTGGGCAGGGAAATCAGACTTCTACCTCATGTTGCAGTGGACCTCAAAATAGAAAGGATTTAGATCCTATTTTAACGTCAGAAAATTAAAAAAAGAGACTCTTTGTGTTTACATCACCCCAATATGACTGTGGACACACTATACCTACACACAGTACTGTCCAAACAGCTGACAAAAGATGATTTTTCATCATAGGTGCTCTTTAATAATGTAGATAATAGCTATAAAATCATTAAACTTGGATGTTTTTCTCATTTAGCAGTAATATCGTACTTTTAATATTGCACAACATTCTTCTTCTATGGGTATTTTTTTGCACATGCTGTGTTCTGTATTTCTCAATGCACAAAAAGAGGATATTTTCATTGATGGAAAAAACAGCCTTTAAAATAGACCTAACAAAATTCACAGGAGTGGCAAGAATATGCACCTGCCTGACTGTATGTATAAAACACTGGCTTATAGTGTGAGGATCTCATTTTATGGTATATAAATAACTTTCCATTAGATCCAGGTCCAAGAAGCGCTCGCTTATCCAACCATTTTTAGCCACATCAGTGTCGTAGCTGCCTGAAATGTACAGTATGACGTCAGCCGAGCACAAAAAGCCTCATGACGTATATGCATCACGCTTAGCGCTGGATCTATGTGCATTTCTCAGATCCTCATTTATCACACTTTCAACGTTATCAGACGGATTATAGGCCTAACCTTTTCCCCATTGAAATCAGCCAATATTAATGTTCCTGATGGCTCTAATATAATTACATAATAAAATGTCACCATGAGGGCTTTTTGCTACCCCTCAGAAATCTGACGGACAATTTAGGCTATTATTAAAATCTAATTAGGCGGCTATGAAAGTAATGTATTGTGAGACTGTGATTCAGACGCCGTGCAAAACAATTAGGCTATATTTAATCGTTTAATCGAAACTGCTTACTTCGACAGAGCTCTCAGAGAACGTTTATGAGTGGGAAAACTTGATAAGTGATGCTGCTTGTGTGTGTATATAGGACATCAGAGCTTAAGCTAAAAATAACAACCGTTGTAGATTTCACATCATCGCTGGGAATTAACTGTTCCGCTCCTGGGCATTGTTAGTTCAGCTGAGGGTTGCCAGATGTTGTTATTAACCCTTAAACATTAACATACATACATCATGCATAATGCTTTTTTGCTTAAATGGCACGTCGTGCTTATGTGGTTTGAAGGATAATCTGGGTTTATTGTGGGTTTAGAATATATGGGGTTGCCAGATCATAAATTGACCCTTTCATAAATGCACAACTGCAAAAATGCTAAGAAATAACAACATGAAAGCCTCCTAAACCCTTGTTTGTCATGACTTTTGTCATCCTACTATCATTGCTGGATCAAGTGCAGGTTGCCAGATGCCATTATTAACCCTTTTAAAATGCAGAAAATATGCTTTGAAGTACTGACCATATTTATTATTGTTTTAGAATACGTTAGATCAGCTGAGGGTTGCCAGATGTTGTCATTAACTCTTAAACATTAAATTACTTACATGGTACGTAATGCTTTTTTGCTTAAATGCTTGCATGGTGTGAAAGATAATCTGTGTTTATTGTGGGTTTAGAATATACAGGGTTGCAAGATCATAAATTGACCCTTTCATAAATGCACAACTGTAAATACTTTTGCTAAAATTATTATAGTTACACAATATGACAATAATAATTACTAATAACAACACGAAAGCCTCCTAATGTTTGTCATGACTTTTGCCATCGTACTATCATAGCTGGACCAATAGCAGGTTGTCAGATGTCATTATTAACCCCTTAAAGTTTAAAATGAAAAAAAAAATATGCTTTGAAGTACTGACCATATTTATTATTGTTTTAGGTTAGTTCAGCTGAGGGTTGCCAGATGTTGTCATTAACCCTTAAACATTCAAATACTTACATGATACATAATGCTTTGAATGATAATCTGTATTTATTGTGGGTTTAGAATATACAGGGTCATAAATTAACCCTTTTATAAATGCACAACTGCAAAAATGCTAGGAAATAACAACATGAAAGCCTCCTAAACCCATGTTTGTCATGACTTTTGTCATCCTACTATCATTGCTGGATCAAGTGCAGGTTGCCAGATT